CCCATAATGTCTTCATAATCTAATCCGTTGACACAAATAATAAGTGGACTGTGTATAAATACTAATGTTCACAATATAAGTTACTTTTGTTGTTATTTATGATATCATAATAATTAACGTAGTAGTACTGAAAAAGTATCTACAGCAGTAGAAGTAGTAACAATAAATTTGTAAGAAACCTAAAAATAGTTGTTGACTTAAGTTGCATTATGAGTAAATCCACAGTGTTTTGCAGTGACAGTAGTTTCACATAGATTTGTTGGGCTAGTATTAACATCATCCTCGGGCTTTTTCTCACTGTGCTGCTTCATTGCTTGCTTGTGTTTGGAGACGCTGTGACCATGCTGGAATAATCGCTTAAAATAGGCCGCATTAACCTGCAGTCCTCTGGGGCGCTGGCCTGGTTTAATCCACCACTGCACATCAGCCGGTATACAGAAGACACGCAGGAGTTCAAGCAAAATGCTACAGGGCCAAGCAGCGGGGGGCGGGCTGATAGAAGGGGGAAATGTTGTATTCACTAGAGCAGTGCCATAGAATTTGAGGCGTCCTTGATTTAAAGCTCAGGAACATACATTTCATACAACAGAATATCTACCTTCGTTATGTTATAGAAATCTTTTAGTGAAGCAATCTGAATTAACATAAAATAGATATAAGTGTAAGTTATGTAAGGGATAATGTATAGCCTACAGGGCTATACATAGCCTACAGGGCTATACTACAGCCTTCAGGGCGGAAGCAGACCCCTCCGCTGCGCGTCGGGGTCCGCTTCGCCCTGTCGGTACTTATTTTCCGATAATGACCTGTAGGCTATACATTATCCCGCTTATTATACTGCTTTGTACCAACTTAACACACAAAATAAACTTCAGATCACTTTTATGAATGCCAAAAGTTTATTTAATGACAACAAATAAAGTAGTCCCAAAAAGTTTTCCCGTTGCTCGGCAACCGCGGGCAACAGTTAGGCTGGCAACTTCCAAACTAGAACTCTCTGGAACTGCATGAAAACTGAACAAAGAATTCTGAACATCAGCGGTGAGTGACCCATACATAAACCTAACCTAATTGAAGCATGAAGCATGCAAGTATAAGTATTCTCCGATTAACATTTAAGTGTGTTGATTGAGCGTGGCTAGCTCCGGAGTGGCCGGAACTACTTGCGGAGTTATCCACGCATTTGAAAGACGAGCAGAGAGAGCGTTGCCATGGGCAGCGGTCATTATTGTTTTGAGAGGTCCGTTATAGAAAATAATGACCGGTAGAACGTTTTGAAATTACATTCAAATCAATGGAGCATTCTACTGCTGCTGTGAGGAGCCGTATAATAATAACTAATAGTCAACTCTGGATTCAAATACAGCACATATGATCTGTTGGCAGCAAGGTCAGCTGAGAGATGGAGACAAGTTTATTTGGCAATATCTGTGTCAAAGAACAATGTGTTCAGGTCAAAGCAGATTATTACAAGTATCAGCGTTGTATCAGAGTAAGGAAGCGTGAAGAGAAGCCTTGAGCGACACATATCAATACTGACTTAATTTGTGTAAAATCTAGAGTAGATATGTCTTTGTTTACTCTGGTCTATTTAATGTCCAGTCATTTCCTCATTCGGGGCAGTTGGTTTCAGACGGCTGCCAGGTGGTATCAGTTCTGTTATTCGTTGTATATGTGCACATTTACTGATGAATAAACTCACACTTTGATTGAATTACAGCTCTTGGTTGTTTACATTATTTTTGCTTTCGGTGTGTGGAGAATTTCCACAACAGTAATAAAATCTATCCAACTCAAAACCGTTTGCTTCTATCACTAGTCTTCACATGCACAACCATTTGGCCTCTATCATATCTTTAGATCTACTTTTTCAGACGGAAAATGGAAAAAATATATATAACATGATTTAACCTTAATTTGTGTTGAACTAATTCTATAAGTTGCCATAAGTTTTGGCTCAAGAGAAGATAAACCTTAATTAGTCCTTCAGTGGGGAAATTTCAATGTCATCAAACATTACAACAGAAAAGATTAAGAAAACAATAACACTAAGGTTTCACACATCAAACAGGATCTATTATTTAGGATAATAGATAAAACATAGTACAAGACAAGATAATAAACTACAGTAGTAAAATAAAACTCTGGAGCTATAATTTCACTTGGTTCGAGGAGAAGTCACTCGTGGAGTTCACACTGTAAGCATCACAAGCATCACAACATATTTATACGTTTCACAGACTTCTGTTGAAGCCGCAGAGAAGGAGAGCTCTGATGAATTGTTGCTGTGCATAAATAATGAAAATGTGGCTGCTGCTTAACCTGATGCTTCAATACAACTGAAGAGCTGTTTTTCCACATAATGAAGCAAAAGTGGGTGCGTCAAAAAAAGGTTAGAATCATAGTTATTAGCCCAGCTTTTTATTTGATTGAGGTTTTTGGTTGACACTAGACAACAGTTTTGTGTAAATATGCATTGAAATTATAATAGAATCTGATAAAATGGAACGCATAAATTGGTGCATACAACAATTGCAATAAAACATTTTGCTTTTTCTTTCCTTAAAGCACTTTGTCCAGCATTACTACCACCTGGTCGCCTTTAAACTGGGTTACAACGACATGTATACAACCGGTTCGTGTACAATTATAGTAGCCACTTAAATTGCTTTTGTTGCAACACGCGGGCCGTTTTCATAGTTAAGTGCCCGGTTAAATAATGTGATGTTACATGGTCGAGCAGCACGTTCATTTTCCAGAATGTGCTTGTCCTAAATTGGTTTTAAATGAGCAGTGCATCATATTAAGAGTGTCATGTGGCAACCTTTCAGATTATAAAGTGAAATACATAAACATCTCTTTTCTGTGTCATCAAAATAATGACTTATAGCTTTAATTATATTGATCCGTGCCAACTTAATTAACCAATAATGCGAGGCTGCCATTGCCAAGAAAAGGCTCTATGACATAATTAATGACTTACTCTCTCGATGTCAACACACTCCTTATCAGTTCATTTTGTGCTTTCACTCTATGCATATTACCCCTTATTAGACAAACCCCCGCCACGGCCCGTGGTTTTAGACAGGCTTAAAATAGCCCAAAGTGATTCCTTTACACTTCAAATCAAAGGAGATTTATTGCAGTTATTGTGAACGCTGAAATTCAGACTGAAAAAGAGAAGCATTCCAGTATTTTGGGCCACATTCATCCAACAATGCGGTATAATCAATAACCCAAATGATGGGGTAAACAAGTGGAGGTATAGCAGTAATTGTATCCAATTCAATCCAATCTGTGTATTTTCATCTATTCTGTAAACCGCGTTGCAAATTCCCTTTTTCATCTACACGCCAGGAAAAAAGACAAATACAAGAGAGAGAGTGAATTATAAGTATGGTGGATTTTTGCTGTATGAGACGAGGCGTATTATATTGGATTTATTTCTGCGCGCAAAGACAATCTTATCACTCAATGGAGATGATTTTGCAGGTCATAATCAAAGCAAGATCAAACAAGTATGAAAAAGGCGAAGGCTATGACCCCAAAATTACAAACGTGCTTCAATAGTTTGGGATACGCAGCCCTCCGAGGCTTTTTTCCGAATCAAGTGAATCAGAGTGATCCAGTCAAATGCGGGTCTGCAGTGGCATATTTTCTCATGTTATTCTGACCCAAATGCTAATGATAGCTATTAAGGCTTGGCTGGTGAATGACATTCAGGGAGCGGTGAATGCTCTGTGACCGACTTGGTGTGCGTCTATGATACAATAATGGGATTTACACAGCGCACCTAAACCCACATTCAAATAAACCAAGTGAGAAACAATTAAAAATACATTGATGACAACAAAAGTATGAGAAATAAGTGCTAGAAACATACAATTGGAATGGATTGTTGTCTAATGCGTTATATTAAGTACTATAATGAAACTCATATGTGTGTCAATGAATGATACACGGCATATTTCTGCACTTTTAATTCACCGTCTAATAAGTGGCTTCTGACTAAATTGAACTTAAAAGCCATGCATACTTTTATCTTCTGCCAGGGTAATACGTATATCAATATTTTCACCAGGGTTTGTCTGTCATGGTGTGGATTTTATTTTGGACTTTAGCTTTATTTTGATATCTGTTCTCTGTGCTTTGGTTTTAGTTTGACTTTGACGTCCTGTTTCCCCTGTCTTGATTGTCTGCCCCGCCCTAATGTGTTTCACCTGTGTCTGTCTATAATTACCCTGTGCTCCTCTCCTCTTGTTACTGGTCCATTGTATTGTCAACTTCTGTTCTGTTCTATTTTGGATTTTGAGTTGTTTTTACCTTGGACTTTATTTTATTTAATCTTTATTTTATTTATTCTTTATTTTGGCATTCTCGCATTTTGAGTCCTCCTCCTTCCCACCTCATGACATTGTATGTCTGTTAGGAGTGTGTTTAAACAGCTCTCCTCATACGGGTTTAGTCCTTACATATGTGCAGTGTTGGTGATTTTAATGGCAACACTGGCATGGAAATATCAACTGAAGTCTTAAAATGAAATAAAATTGGCGCAGGTTCAGTGTCACTCACTGGAGACACTGGTACGACTGTCATTTAAAGACTTGATTGTTTATTGTTGTTTTTGTGTATGTCTCCCTCTATATCTCCCTTCGATTTATCTGTTATTCATTGACTAATGTTTTCCTATTTATGTATGTGTGCTTGGCAGTGCAAACACATATGAATCAACCCAAGGGATGAACAGAGTTTTCGGAATCTGACAATTCACAGCAGATTTTCACAATGAATATATATACTCAGGCTTTTCACAACTTTTCGAGCCCAGAGATACTAACTCTACAAAATCCTCATTTGAACAAAGGAGAAAGGGCTTTTAGATTTACATCAAACGCCGCTTTTTATACTGAGGCCACACAAATATTGCACGACTACATGAATAGAATGGTGTGCAGGCTCGTTCAGTATTTCATGGAGGGAGAAGTCATGTGAAGCCTTACCGGTGTTGTTGCGGTAGGGGCCAGAGTCAGGACCCTGGCTCTGGCTAAGACTCCTCATAGGGCCCTTGTTGTGGTACACACGCTCTTCATAGATGGGGTCTATGTGGTGTTCTGGGGACCCTAAAGGCCTGAGGGGCTCCTGACTGTGCTGACTGCTGTAAGAGCCGCGAGAACCTGCACGAAACAATGGTGAAATCTCAAAAATGATCGGAAGACAGGTTTAGGAGTGACATATTGTGCAACCCAATTATTTTTCCTCGATATAATAACACAAAACAAAATGAAAACGTAGATGCACTCTGGACAGGATGAAAGCAAAGGAGAGGGATGCCACAATGTCTCTTTGTAAAATCTCAGAGGAAAACAATGCCGATCGTCAGCTCTAAAATAATGAGATGTCGTCGATCCCCTTTGGTCTGTGTTGGCAGCAGTCCCAGATCCGGGGCGAGAACACGATGACATTACAGGAGAATAGCGCAGGCCGAATGTATGATAGAGGGACCTCAGCAGAGAGCCCGCATTAAATCGGGACCGTTAAAAATTGTTTCAGAGATGCCGACACTAAAAGCTATGGTATCATGACATCAGATCTCCAGTAGTGATAGTTGCGTGCTTAGGATTTTCTAGGTTTAGAGAAAGGGGAAAAAAGTGGAGCGCTTCAAGCATCATTCAAAGCTACTATCAACTTAACACGCTCTAAAACCCTTCAACCCTTCAGATACTATCAGAAATCAATGCATGGGAGGCAGCCAGTCTTTCGGCACGGCCAAGTCCACGAATACAAGCCTCGGCTACACTACTATGAGGAAAACAGTATAAGGTTCCAGCAAGAGTAGATTCAGATTCGGATTAATTGTACTTGCCATTTGCAGTAAAACCACATTGGAATACAAGCATGACTCCAAGTGTTGTTTGACAGTATTATATCATATCTTATTATTATTGTACCTTTAAGTGCGATTGTTGCATGTCCGCGTAAATCTGTTTGTATGGGCTCCTCCTTATTGTTACTAGATGTTAGTGCTTGTATGTGTGTGTTTTGAATGTGTTATTTGTGCCCTTTAAGCAGCTCAAATAAGTTAAGATGTACTTTATTATTCTTGTACAGAAATGTGTTTTTTCTGAATTTGACCCATCCTTCCAATACCACTAAATCAGGGGTGTCAAACCTGTTCAAGAAAGGGCTGGTGTGGCTGCAGGTTTTAGTTCTAACGTGAGCAGGAGCACAGAAGACTCCACCCATTTCCACAAATTTCCTACTTTAAACTGGACTCAATATCCCTGTTACAATCAGGATTGGAACCCAGAAACTTCTTGCTGAGAAGCGATTGCTAAACTCTCTGCCACCGTGCCGCTGTATTCACCCCCTACGTGGGATAAATACAGCACAGGTGCCTATATCGGAATCTGAATTCAGGCTTGCTGTATGCTACTCAGAAAACACTTAAAATGAACATATACTTTGTACATTTTTTTACTGGTTCTTTGTAATTGCATCCACAGCAGTTGACACTTTGTAAGTAATAAATGACTTCTTCTCAAACCAGAAGTGTATGACTGAAAATGAAAGAGACATGACTGACAACAGCTTGGACCATCACATAGTAGAATTCAGGGCTCAATGCTCAATGGTCAATACCATATGTCCAGCTTCTGCAAATCCAAATCAAACACACCTTCAGTATGACTCATCCACATGTCCATCTGTTTTAGTCTTTGAAGTATTTTTGCCCCTTGTTTTACTTATTTATTTCATTTCAGAGGCCGAGTGCTGGACGTACTGACCTCCATCTTTCAAAGAGAAGACTCATTTATAATATTGAGATATGAAAATGATAACAATCAACTCAACAGCTGAAGAGATATTATGATTCAAAGTACAATCCTCTCCATCATCTCTAAAACTACCAATCTCCAAAAGTAATTAATATTTTGTTCTTAATGGTGTAGTATTAAGCCCACATGATTATTTTGTGGCCCAAACCTCTGATTAAAAATATCTCCAAAAGAACTATTTTAATCAACGAGGCATCATTCCCTCAGCCGTTACACAACTAACAACTTTCTGTTCCATGTCTATTTTTACTTGTAAAGAGGGTACTTCAGAGCTGTTATCTATCAGAATGGACTGCACACTAGAGCTGCACTATCCTGCTTTCCGAGAGACTATGGATCCTTTCCTGTTATCATACAATTTGCTAATTATATTCCCGAAAAATAGTTAATTTTTTGCACAATTTGGGAACTTGCGGTGAGCTCTCCACATCCAAAGCGTACATGTGACACAGGCCTTCTAATTACAGAGCAGTTCTTAGGGATACAACAATCCTATGGGACATCCCGTTCTGTTACGGTCTTCTTCCCCGCTCACACGCTGCAGTGAAACTCGGGGCGATGCTTTAAGATCACAGCGAAGCCCCTGGGGATGAACCGTGAAGGTCATGTTCTGCATCAATACTGCTACAAGTTTAAAGGCCTAATCAATCAGTTACTACAAGCTATAAAAGACGTCCACTGACTTTGATCAATGTTAACAGAAGCCAAATAGTTCAATTAGGGCCACAATGTTGCTCGGCTGCTGGCTCCAAACACAAGAATGTAAATATGATATTCACAGGGGTGTTCTCTTCCGCCCACTCCTTAGAAAATTCTATTGACTGACATTTGATAATAATATTTGATGAACAAGAAATAAACACCCCACTCAACTCAATGTACAAGGGACCTATTTTCTATTATTAGTGTTTTTGTTTGTTTTTAAATACGTACTTATGTCTCAACAGAAAGAGTCCTGTTTAAGTTACATGTTGTGAACAAATCATTATAAAACCTGTTATATTTTAAGTAAGTAAGTAAGTAATCTTTATTTATATACCGCCTTTCACAGACCAGAGTCACAAAGCGGTTTACATTTGTTATTTTTTGGGCACTTGTCCTCTCACTCCACACAGAGATGGGAGCGGGGTCGCCGAACAGGAGGCGCATGCCAGACCTATTGTACATATTTTTAGTGGTAGGGGAAACCGGAGTACCCGGAGGAAACCTACGCAGACACGGGGAGAACATGCAAACTCCACTCAGAAAAGTCCTGGTCCGACCGGGATTCGAAACCAGGACCTTCTTGCTGAGAAGCGAGAGTGCTATCCACTCAGCCACCGTGCCGCCCAAGTGGATTTTACATACTGAGAGCTGATTGGCCTTTCTTTTTCACTGAAAAAGCAGATCTAAATACGTGACACAGCTCAGAACTAGTTACATGGACTTTAACTTTGATATTATTTGCTTGTTGTTGAGGAAATAGGAAAAAGGTCATCTTCCCCAGTGTTATATTACCACTTAATAATAGCTATATTGTTCCATACAGATAAGGCTAATAAAGGATTTTACAAAACCAAAACATTAACAATAGAAACCCTGTGCGTTTTCCAAGGTAACCACAGAGCAATTAAACGAAAAATCGTTCCCTCCCATTCTTCAGTAGAGACAGAGCTGAGAAGAAAACAGCTTGTGTGAAAGTTAAGTTTGTGTGCCTCTGTGTGTGTGTGCGTGCTTGTTCATCTGTGTGTGTGTGTGTGTGTGTGTGTGTGTGTGTGTGAGTGTTTATCTCTGTGTGTACGTGTGCGTTTGTGTGAGTGCGTGGTCCTATACCTGCCAGACTCCCAGGTCGCTGCAGTGTGGCCGAAGCGTAGAGCTCATGGGAAATCTTATACTGGTCAGAGGCGTGGTGAGCTGCCAGCCGCTTAGGAGACAGAGTGGCATAGCTCCCTATGCCCGAACTCATCTAGAAAAGCAAATTTTTATGTTCATGTTTGCTGCTAACAGACTCATATAATACAGTACTCCCAAATGGTCACAATACAATATTTCAATCAAAAATAAATACTCTTTTGATATAAATATTTTAAAACAATATATTTATTGTTTAACTCAAACACTACATCTCTGCTCCGAGTCTGATTTATTTGCTTTGTTTGTATCTGGGGAGCTTAATCACATACTTCTCTGTTTATTGGTTCCACAAGGCTTCAAACCGTTATAATTTGAAATATATTAAAAAATGCTCAAGATATTTCAAATTTTGTCCCAGTTATACATGCTTTCATTTACTAGGCGCCTTCCGTCATACTTTACTCTCTAGTTTTTCACACTAGTTTTTTTTTATGCTTTTGAAAAATGAACCCTTCTCTCAAAAAATGTAAGCTGCATAATACATTCATTTGTGTTTTATGATTTGTAGGATTAGTCAAGATAGTCAAGCTGCTTGAGGAGCGTAAAAAACTACTCCATATAATTGGTTACCTGGTGAAGTGGGGATGATGAACTGGCCCCTCCCCCTGATGCAGGTGAGTTGGAGGGGGGAGATGCCACCCTTAGGGGAGACCCACCCCCGTCCACTGAAGTGCTGCAATACAAACACAAATGTTTAGCAGGACTAATTGTGCCACGCCCAATTTTGGCATCAGATCTAGTTAACTGTGTGGATGCTTTCCAAATTGATGACGTTAGTTCCGGTTTTTGATCCAACCCTTTATGCTGGTTGAAATACATGTTATATGGCTGGATTACCGTATTGGAGAGTGTATTGTTCCTAAGTCTATAAATGTAATTCAGCAGGATCAGACTGTGGCTCCCCATAGCAGGCGCAGAATAGGAAATCAATATGGCTTTTAAAAATACAATGCTGGCACCTGTAAGACTTGGCCAGGCGGTTAGCGGGGGACTGCTTGTTGGGGGAGGAGGCGGAGGGCAGGCGCTGAGTGGTCGAGTAGCCTTGCGTGTCTGACGATGATCCCAGGCGCTGGAGCTTACTAGGGGAACCGGACCCTGACCCTCCCCCTGTGAGAGGAGAGCTGACACGCTGGGCAGGCAGAGTCGAGCTGGAGTAGTAGATACCTGAACACAGAAACATCAATATTTCTTTGTTATTATGATAAAAACGATGTTTATTTGTTCACCCATGGATCAAGCTGTTTTTATTTTCATACACCAGTGCATTTTGTGATTGTTCCTCTGACTCATTAAGCACAGTGTTAAACCTGGTGTATGTAAGTGTGTGTGTGTGTGTGTGTGTGTCTAGATATAAAGTTACACATGTATAGGGGTGTAAAAAACTATGAATTTTCATGACCGACCACCGAGCCTCATTAACCGGTTGAAACCGGTTAACCGCGTAGTTTAAAATAGTCCACGTTCTTTGAAATAACAGCCATTTCGAGCTGCGTACTTTTCATAAGTGCAGCTGAGCGTTCTACGGGATCAGAGACGAGACAGCGGCACCAAAACCCGGAACAGCTTCGGCACCTATGCGCACAGAGAACTGCTGTTTTAATCTT